GAGAGAAGAGAAGGAGGAGGAGGAGGAGGAGGAGGAGGAGCAGGAGAAGGAGCTGGGGACGCTGTGTCCCGAGGAGGATGAGGAGGAGGAGGAGGAGGAGGACCAGTGTAAACCCAAGAGTCATCAACTGAGGAGGGCCCCGTGGAGATCATTGAGGCCCTGCCCCAGCTCTCGACCGACGAACTAAGGAAGCTCAGCCGCTCGTACAGGAAGGCCAGCGCTGTGTCGGTGGATGGATTCCACCTCCGTCACTACAGCCTCCTGAATGACGCTGCTCTGGAGGCTCTGTCTGGGATGATGTGGGTTGTCGAATCCATCGGTCGTCTTCCTCCCCAGGTCTCGGTGGTCCTTCTGGCCCTCCTGGGCAAGGCCTCTGGAGGCTTCCGTCCGATCGGTGTTTTTGTCTCTTGGTACCGTCTGTGGGGCAGGGCCCGTCGCCCTCTGGCCCTTCAGTGGGAATTCGATCATCCCAGAGCCTACTGGGCTGCAGGTGCTCACCGAGGCGCGGCGGACGTCGTCTGCCGCCAAGCCGTCAAGGCTGAATTTGGAGTAGCCTCCAAGCTTGCGTCTGCTTCAATTTTCTGGGACATGGAGAAATATTACGAGAGCATCTCTCTTGAGTATTTGGAGCATCAGTGTAGGCGCCATAGCTTTCCTCGTTGCATCACCAGGGTCTGCCTTGAGGCGTACAGGTCTGTGCGGTACCTGTCCTTGGGAGGCATCTTGGACGGGCCCTACTGGGCCCTCTCTGGCGTCATTGCTGGTTGCTCTATGGCGACCAGCTTTATCAGAGTGTTCGCTATGTCTGCTTTCGACGATATTCCCCTCCAAGTTGGCATCGATTTCGATGCTTACATTGACGACACGGGTTTGTCCAGGACTGGTTCTCCCGAAGATGTGGTTGCAGGCTTAGTCTCTAGTGCTCGCGGCCTGCATCAGGCCATCACCGAAGTTGTAGGTTGCTCCCTGGCCATGGACAAGATCGGCCTGGTGAGCAGCAACAAGTGGGTAGCCCAGCAGCTCGAGCTGCACTTGGGCGAGCTCGCAGGTGTTGCAGCCCCAGCCGTGGTCAACTTAGGTGTGGACTACACTGCGGGCCGTGCGCTGCGTGCACGAGGATCTAAAAACGGGAAATATTGCAAGTGTAAGGAGCGCATCGCGCTCGCCCAAAGGAAGACCCGACGCCTTCGGAAGTTTAAGGACGCTCTGGGGAGGAAGTCTCTTCGCATTTTCACCGCGGGCCCCCTGGCGAGCGGCACCTACGGTGCGGAGGTTTTTGGCATCAGTGATAGGGAGTTGCACCAGTTTCGCTCCCTCGGTATGTCCTCGATATATCCTAAGTCGCAACACCGCTCGCTCACGGTGATCTCGTTGCTGGAAGGGGACCCCCCCCCTGGAGAGTGTGCGTCGCCCCCCTCATTCGATAATGCCAAGGAGCTGTGGCTCACCCAAACTAGACAGTTTGCTGGGTCTCTCTCCTTTGGGCTTCTGAGGCAGGCTTGGAGCGTGGTTTTTCCTAGGGGTGACTGGTCGTGGGCTAAGGTCTCTGGGCCTCTTAGTGCTCTCAGGGTGACCCTGTATAGGCTGGGTTGGACCATGTCCTCGTTCTGTGAGCGTGTTGACGACAGGGGGCACCTCCTCAATTTGCTCATTCTCTCTCCGAGGTTGGTCGACCAGCTGGCCAAGGAGGCCGTCTTTAGGGGTTTAGGAAGGGACTCGGGCCCTAAGTTTGGGGTTGCTCATCGCCTGTGCTGGGATATTGTTCGTGCCAAGCTGAGGTCCAGCAAGGTCTCTTACAAGGATAAGTTCACCATGAGGGCCTTAGCCAGCAACGCCATCTGGACGGGAGTGGCCGCCAGGAAGACTGGTTACGACGTCTCCTCGGTCTGCGGTCTGTGCGGTCGGCACGACGACACGCTCTGGCATAGGCTTTGGCAGTGTCCCGCTTGTGCTGCTGAGCGCGAATCGATTGTGCCAGCTGACATCCTTACGCTGGCTCAGGACGTGGAGTCAGAGGACTACGAGTACCCACTGCTCGTCCATGGAGCCTTCAAGCACCCAGGAGATGAGCTTCCCAGGCCTTCGTCTGATGGAGTTGTTCACGTCGAGTGGGTGGTCCCCGTAGCTGAGCCCCCAGGACCTCCTGGCCCTGTGGATACCCATCCTGACATCGGTCTCTGGGGGCACGTTTTCTTGGACGGCAGTTGTTTTAAGCACCCTGTTGTTGAGCTTTCCCGTTCGGTTTGGTGCCTGGCCATGACGGGTGTGAAATAACAGCCCCAGTCTGGGCCCCGTACCCCCAAACTCCTCAGGCCGCTGAGTGTGGGGCGTTTGAAGGCCTAAATGTTTCCCTGGAGTCGAGCGCGGTTTGCTACAGCGACTGTAAGAATGTGGTTGACATGTTCCTCCAGGGCCCTGGTAGGTTTCTGTCACCCAAGCTCCAGTACTCTGGGCTGCGCATCCACGGAGTGTCGGGAGCGGGCTCCAAGATTTCCAGCCTCCGTAAGGTAGATGCTCACAAGGACGTTTACGAGTCGGGGATCAGCGCTCATGAGCGCTTCATCCGACAGGGTAACTGCTTTGCAGATGCTGGGGGGCCAAGCGTGCTGTTAATTGGCACCCCCAGTTTTGTGCAGGATACCTGGAAGCTGTTGAGTTGAAGGTCAAGATCGCTCGTTGTGTCATGGACCTCGCAGCTGCTGTCCTTCCCTTGTTTCCTCGTGTGGAGTTTCGTGGGTTGGAGCGTGTTCCTCCCCCTCATTCTCCTCCTGCAGCTGCGAGGGATCCCCATCGGTGGGCTCACATGTCAGGTTTCTGGCGTTGCAGAGTCTGTTTGAAAGGATCCACTCACTCCGTCCCTGTCGCTGGGTCGTGCAGAGGCCACAGCAGACTTGATAGTGTAGTTTTGGATCGGCTCCAGCATCGTGTCATAGCGCTGGAGGCCAGCGATAATTCGCACATGTTCTTTTGCCTTAAGTGTCGGTCGTATTCGTCGGGAGCTCAGGTGCTGAACTTGGGCAAATCCTGCAAACCACCGACCATCACGGGCATTCGCAACTGGAACAAAATCAGGCAAGGGAAGCACCCCGACAAAGTGGGAGTGACTCTCGATTTGGACCTGGTCAAGGCCTTGTTCCAGTAACATTATTCGGAAAAAAGAGTCATCAACGATGATGGAATAAACCCTCCCACCAAGCTCCCTATTCATAGACCCCTACAACGGTTCATTTCCACTGAGGGAACTGCCTCGTTGGAAGACAACCGTTTGAAGATCCTGAAGCATGACAAAACTTTGCTCTCGGGATTCCAACGCCACGGATCAAGCTGAATGTTGCGTCTTGACAGTCCTGATGCATGCCAGGAAGCCATTCCTGGGACGTCAACACCGCGAATGAACGTAACTGTTGCACCCTCATAATCCAAAACCCTTTCAAAACACCATGTATGGTAAGTTGATTATGGGAACCCGTGAAACTCTTGCAAAATTGAAACAATGTGCGCGGCGATGAGGCGAGAGCCACATGCTGAAAAGGAGCCGCCCTCAATCCATGAAGCTCTTTCGAAGTTTGAAGACGGCTGCACGCGGCGCTAAGGCGAGAGCCACATTTTGAAAACGAGTCGCCCTCAATCCGTGCGCTTCTTGCAAAATGTTAAAAGAGGAATGTGCGCGGCGCTATGGCGAGAATTACACATTGAAAAAAAACGCCATCCATATGTGAAACTGCTGTCACGTTTGAAACTTCAGGGTCATAAGTGGTGAGAAGTCTCAAGCAAAACGCCCAGCCAGTCCTAAAAAATAGCCTCGGGTGCGACAGGGAGAAGTTACTTACAAGGAAAAATAATGGAGGAGCAGGAACAGGAGAAGGATGCGGAGCAGGATGCGAATATAGACACACATATATACATATACCTGCGTATACATGTACAGAGGAAGAGGGAGAGACAAAGAGAGAGAGAGAGGAAGGAAAGGGCCCCTTTTCTTCATCACTCCTCTCTCTCTCTCTCCCTCTTTCTCTCTTCCACTCCCTCCCCCGCTTCCGAAGCGGGGGGAGGGGAAGAAGGAAGGGAACAGGGAGGACGAAAGGGGGAGGAGGGAGGAGGGAGGGAGGAAGAGAAGCAGGAGGGGAGGGAAGGAGGGAGGGAGGGTTCGGATATTAGGGCGGAGGGAACAGGAGGAGAGCGGAGAGAAGAGGGAAAAAGATAGAGAGGTCGAGAGAGAGAGAGAGGGAGGAAGCAAGGGCCCCTTCTCTTCCTCATTCCTCTCTCTCTCTTTCTCTCTCTCTCTCTCTCTCTCTCTCTTTCTCTCTTCCACTCCCTCCCCCGCTTCCGAAGCGGGGGGAGGGGAAGAAGGAAGGGAACAGGGAGGACGGGGAGAGGAGGGAGGAGGGAGGGAGGAAGAGAAGCAGGAGGGGAGGGGAGGAGGGAGTGAGGGTTCGGATAGGAGGGCGGAGGGAACAGGAGGAGAGCGGAGAGAAGAGGGAAAGAGAGAAAGAGAGGGAGAGAGAGAGAGAGAGAGAGAGCGAGAGAGAGAGAGAGAAAGAGCGAGAGAAAGGGTGGAGGAGGAGGAGAAGAGGGAGGAGGAGGAGGAGGAAGAGGAGGAGGAGAGCGGAGAGAGAGGAGGAGGAAGAGGAGGAGGACGAGAAGGAGCAGGAAGCAGCAGATGGAAGTGCGAATTGCGATCGAGCATAGCCGTCATGCCCACACACACACACACACACACACACACACGCACTCACTCACACCAACGACAAAAAAACGTGCAAACAAAATAGGAACCGAACATAAATCATTTAGACAGGTCCACCTCCTTCCTGCTCCCTCCCCCTCACCATCCTCCTCCTCCTCCTCCTCCTCCTTCTCCTCCTTCTCCTCTGACTGTTGTCCTCCTTCCCGGGAGGGGTGGACTGAGGAGGAACGAGGTGATTTGTATAGTTGTCCTCCTCCGAGTCGCCCGTGACGAAAAGGCCCACGGATATCTCATGCTGGACGTTCCCGGAAATCTAACGAGGTTTCGGTGAAGGTCCGGCAGAGGCCTCCAGAAGCTTCCGGAGACCCAAAAACGCACGACAACGACGCGAAACAAAAAGAAACAAATAAAAACAAAAACAAAAACAACAAAAAAAAAAACGATCCTCAGAAAGCCGACGATCTGATTTTCCTCCGTCCGCGGCCTCAAAGCTCCAAGCCGCGGGCATTTTGTGATGGTCCTGGATCCCGAGAAATGCCCCAGGAAGCCCAAGTCAGAAAAAGCCGGGATTGGACAAATCATTCCGTCAAAGGCCTGAAACCACAGAAAAAACAGGATCCCCGGACCTGGAGCTCAAAGATCGTCGCGAGCCGCCGCCGGGCCGTTGCGGCGCCGACGCAGCAGACTTCGCTGGCCACCCTGCCGAAGCCCGCGGAGCCATCGCAGTCCCCGCTCAACGAGAAGATGCGGGCGTAGAAAACGCAGTCGTTGCCGTCCTCGTCCTCCCAGGGGTCCTCCGCAGCTGGGAGGAAGGAGTGGAGGGGCAGAAAGACTAGAATTGTTCGACGCGGCGATACCCACATGTGCATCTTTTCAAGAGAATTCCGTACGCACGAGTGTCAGAAAATGAGCAAGGCTGGGCGACTGAGTACGGGTGGATCGGACTGCAAGCGAGTCTAAGTATGAGTGGGCCATGGGGCCAGACCTCTGGTCGGCACCCCTCGGATGGGCTGGATGACATGCAGAAAGTAAAACGAAAATAAAACTCTCAAAGGAGAGCATGGTCATGCAGCATTGTGTTTATCCAAATAGATTCAAGGATCGATGATCGAAATTGTTGAACGGACCTTCGCCTCGATCCGCCCATTGGGTGCCCGAGGACACACGTGTGCGAATGGCTTCCATTTTGGGGGCCCTCTGGGTCCTCTCTGAGCACGGCGGCTCGGGACGTGAGGGCGGGGGGGGAGCTGGGCTTCGGGGCGTGAGCTGTCGAGAGCTTTGGGTGCCGAGCTGCTGTGCTGAGGGCGTTCGGTCTTGAGGAGGATGGGCTCCCAGACGTGTCCGCCCAGGGCGCGAGCCTCCTCGAGCGTGATGCGGACGCCGAGGATTTTGAGGAAGCCTCAGACTTGGGCGCCTCCGATTCTGGGCCTGACCAGGCCGCTGGACCTGCCCCATCTCATCTTGCCTCCTCCACCTCCCCCCTTCCTCCTCCTCCTCCCCCCCTTTGCGCGTGCTTGGCAAGCGAGCGCGCAATCCGAGGGGACAGCGAACGTGCCCGGGCCGCCTCGGCGCCCCCGGAGAGCGCGCGCCCCGACTTCGCCGGTGCGCGCGCCCGCCAGGCGCCCTGCAGCACCCGCCGCAGGTCCTCGCTGGTGCAGCGGGGCGCGCCATCCTCGCCGGCGAACAGGCGCGAGAACTGCTGCAGGCTGGCCCCGGCGCTGGTCGGCGGTTCAAAGATGGGGCCCTGAAGGACGGTGTATAGCCGAGGGCGCTCCACTGCTCGCAAGGGAACCACTCGCAAATGGTCTGGATCCGCCGCGGGGGACCTACGATCCACTACGTCGAGGCGAACATGCGCTTTTCGGAGGTCTGCGAGTAGGCGCGTTGCGAGCAGTGGAGAGCACTCGGTGAGGGTAGCGGCGCCCGTGCCGGCATGACGCCACAGCAGCAGCGGGCGGCACACGGCCCGCAGCAGCACCGACGCGCGGCGGGGCGACGAGCACCGTCGCCCTGAGCGGGCGAACCAGGGCGGCGGCACCGAGGCAGCGCGCCAGAGGCCAACCGACGGCCCCGCGGACGAGCGGCCTCAAACGGTGGAGGTTCAGCTTGGTATGCATTGCGCAGACTGGGGGGCCCCAGCCCTCAGGACCCCCCCCTTTGGACCGCCGAGCTGGGGCAGCGCCCGCGTGGCCACCGCCCCTCCCCGCAGCACAGCTCGTGGTACTGCCGCGCCCAGCCGCCGGGGCCCTCGCCGCCGCCGATGCCGCAGAGATGGGCAAAGTGGCCCAGCTCCTCCGCGTCCAGCCGCCCGCCGCCGTCCCTGTCCAGCGCCTGGAAGATGGCGAGCACCAGCTCCGGCTGCGCCCCCGCCTGCTGCAGCAGGCCGTGCAGCTCGCCGCCGTCGCACCCGGGGGCGCCGCCCCGGCCGCCGTCCAGCAGCAGCAGCAGCCCGGCCAGGTCCAGCCCGCCGTCGGCCTCGGCGCCCGCGAGGCGGCAGATCTCCTGCCACTGCCGCGGCCACGGCGCGCCGCGCCACGACCGCCCGAGCAGGCGGCCCGCGAGCGGCCTCAGCCGCTCCTGGCTCAGCCGGCCCCTGCCCTCCTGGTCGAGGGCCCAGAGGAGCTCCCAGGCCATCGCGGGGCGGCAGCCCTCAGCCACCAGGAGGACCCTCAGCTCGTGGCTCGTGCAGTAGCCGCCGCTGGCCTCGTCGTCCACCAGCTGGGCGAACTGCCTGTCGCAGATCGAGGTCCCCCAGCCGTAGCGCGCGCGGAACTCCTGGAACTGCACCTCCCAACCACGGCCGTCGAAGCCGCAGTGCCTCGCGAAGCGGAGCACGCCCTGGGACGTCAGGGCTCCGCGGCGCGTCCCGTCCAGCGCCCTGAACAGGCTCATGATCAGCTCAGACCGCGAGCCCACCTGGAGCAGCACGAGCCGCATGTCGTCCTCGCTCAAGAAGCAGAAGCTTTCTGGGTCCCCGATGAGCTCGGCGAACCTTGCGGCGTCCAGTCCGCCCCGTCGGAGGGCCCGGAACTCGTCCTCCCAATGCCTGGCATCGCCCTGGAACCTGCAGAGGCTGGCGAGCCGGCGCAGCTGCTGGCCCCCGCACCTCCCGGTGCGCCTGGCATGGCTCGACCCTGAACAATGTGCTCGTCTTCGTCTCGTTGTCGTGCTGTTCCGTTTTGTCGTCGCTCCGCCTTCGCTGCAAAGCGAGGTCGAGACGAAAACGGCCCACGAAATCGCCAAAGACACCGCTGCGGTTGAGCCCCGGCGCCTGGTGTCCAGGGAGCGGAACACCTCCAGCGCAAGGTCCTCCCGAGACTGGGCGGCGACCCTCTCCGGAAGAAGGGAAGTCTACCGAGACATAAACTGCCGGAGGCCCGCGCAGGCTTCGAACATCGGCGCCAGACCACCCCCGAAGCTCTGCGGTCGGGAACTCCTGCGCAGCGTGCCGCCGCGGCGGCCCCAGCGACACGCAGCGCCTTGCGTCGTGGATGCCACGACAAAGGACACCCGAACAGTCCTATCATTGAATTTTCAATGTATTCAAAATGTCGGGAAAATGTTATAAACATGTTTTAAGCATGTGTTTTACAAGTTGAAGAAATATCTAACACATGTTTTAGGCATATGGAGGTCGTTTGGCACCATGCCTCCTCTCCGCTGATCGTCCTCCACAAGCCTTTCGAGTGGACAGCGTGCCGCTCCGCGGGGCGGGAGGCGAGAGAAGGCTCGGGACGGTTGACGCCCGGCAGCGGGGACGTTGGGGGCGTGCCGCGCCGAAGCGCGTTGAGGGGCCTGAGCCGGCGGAGCGACGCGCTGAGCCAAAGTTCCCGGCCGCAGTAGAGCCAGGTCGGGCCTGTCCCCCTGCAAGGGGGACTTTGGGCGAAAACTGAAAAATACTCAAAAAAATACCCCCAAAATGCTCAACGGAAAATCGTTCCCTGACTGTTGTTTCACTATGCTTGACTACTCCTCCTGTAGAGGGACAGGCCCGACTTAACAATAGAGACACAAGAAGACAGAAGCGTTCACTGCCCGAGGTCCGCACGGGGGTTCCTGGATCGACGCTGGGCCCCCTTCCGTGGCGCGCGGAGCGCGCCAGGGGCGGCGGCCGCCAGGGGGGCCCAGCGCCGATCCGAGGAGGCCGCGCAGACCTCCGAAAGCTTTGCCAGCCTCGCGCTCGCTGGGGCTGGTGGCGGCGTTGCCGGCCCCGGGTCCGCTGGAGGCGGCGGCGGTGGCCTTGCCAGCCTCGCACTCGCTGGGACTGGTGGCGGCTTCGTAGGTACGATCTGAGCGCATGTGCATGTCATTGTTTCTTCCCCGACCTTCTGCGGGAACTCATGGGAGCCTCCCATGCCGTCTTGCTGGCTCCTGCGAATCAGCGCGAACCGACGCCAATCGACGCCAACGGACGCCAATCGATGCCAAATCGACGCCAATCGACGCTAAGTCGGTATATTCGTATCGATTACCACACGCTGGCGCACACTAGTGTACTCCAGAGCCAGAACTACGAGGACACACGGGCTCCCATGGTCTGCTACCGAACCCAACGTACGTCAGCGGCGCGCTGGGGGGGGAGTGAGAAAGCGCAGGCCTTCTCAGAAGGCGGCCAGAATTCTCGGACGCCCTTCGGCCTTCTGAAAAGTCTTCCACGTCTTCGGGGGAAGGCTGAGAAAACTCGTCAGGGGGACGGAGCCCTTCCGAGCCCTCTGAAAAGGCCCACGCCCTCTGACTTCCCCCCCTCGACGCTCGCCGCCGAGCATTTGAGCAGGGACCGACCGTCCCAGCATTTGAGCCCGATTCTTCTTTTTCGGCGATGACGGGCGTCATGGGGGGGGGAGGCGGGGGCGGTGTGACGTAACGCCCCCCCCCGCCGTGTGGTTCCAGCACCACAGCCGCGCCCGCGCGCATGACGACGATGAGCGACGAGCGACGAGCGACGAGCGACGACGACGACGACGACGACGACGACGACGACGCGAGCAGCATGTAGGTGGCGATCTGCACCACAACGCCTGTGTACACCACAGTACTCGCACGCACCACAGCGCGAATGTACACCGAAATACCGGCGTACACCGCAACAGCCGTGTGCAACGCAGCGTTTGTGTACACCACAGTGCTTGCGTGCACCATAGCGCCAGTGTGCACCACAGCGAATGCGCACAACCGCAGCAACCATGTGCAACACAGCGCCTGTGTACACGACAATGCTTGCGTCCACTGCAGCGCCTGTGCACACCACAGCGCCTGTCTACACCAAAGCATCCGCGTGCAACGCAGCGCTGGTGTACACCACAATGCCTGCGTGCACAGGACAAGTAGAAGGATCATCTATGTGAGGATTTGCTGTGGACAGCTAACCGCCACGCCAGGCAAGTACTGAGAATCGAATGCGACGTTTTTCCCTCATCCCTCCCTCCTCCACCTCCACCTCCTCCACCTCCACCTCCTCCTGTTCGTCCTCCTCCTCCTCTTCCTCCCTCACCCTTCTCCCCTGTCGTGCTGGCTGGCACTACAGCGCACGTGCGCATCTCAGCGTGAACCACAGGATGGTCGATTTAATCACTCACTTGGTTTTCGGACGGCCAACTTTGATGGTGCCTCCTGGACGCAGATGGGAGGAGTTAGGATGATGCGGGCGGCCTCTGGAGGACTCGTAGATTCCAGCAACGCTCCTTTTGTCCATGAGGACTCCTTTCCAAATCCTGTATAAGACATTTCTTGCTGTGGAATCCACAGACGTTCCATGTTGTCATAAAAGATTTCTTCTAAAATTCTATATGCAACAATGGTGCTCTGTTGCGCACGGTTGCTATGGTGCACACAGGCGCCGTGGTGTACACAGGCGATGTAGTGCACGCAGGCATTGTGGTGCACACTGGTGTAATGTTGCACACGGCTGGTGTGGTGTACGCAGGCGCAGTGGTGTACACAAGCGCTGTGGTGCCCGCGGGCACTGTGGCACACACTGGCGCAGTGGTGCAAATCGCCACCCACATGCTGCTGCTACCCGCCCTCGGTCATTCCCAAGCATTCCCACACGCCGACGCCGCGAAACGTGACGTCATCGGCCCCCCCCCCCCCCAGATGGTTGCCGTCATCGGCCCGGAACAAAGAAACAGGCTCCAGCCGCGTCCGCGCGCACGGCGACGATTACCGACGAGCGACGACGGACGACGACAACGACAACGACGACGACGACGACGACGACGACGACGACGACGACGGCGACGAAGGCGACGACGACGACGACGACGACGACGACGGCGACGAAAACGACGACGCCGACAACGAAGACGACAACGACGACGACGACGAAGGCGACGACGATTGCGGACCAGACTCCTCTGCGGATTCCTAAGCGGACACCTATGCGGATCCCGATGCGTACAGCGGCAGTGCCCCGAGCGCACTGGGGGGGAGCGTTACGTCATAGGGGGGGGGGCGGCGGGGGCCATGACGCCCGTCATGCCCCAAGCAATAAGGAAACACGCTCAGAATGTTCGAATAGCAAAAGCAATGTTCGTAGAACATCAAGCCGATGTGTTAAAACGAGACAGCCCCAGCCAGAAATGCTCTAATTGAAACACTTCGTGCAAGCCACAATAGGTCCTGAGAAAACTCTCCAGTGGGCCTCGTAGGCAAGCGAGGACGCCTCGCCGCTGCCTGAAGCATGTCTGGCAAGTTTCCCTTCTCCGAGTCTCCCCCGGGAGCACGAGGAGCCTTGCCTCGCTGGCCGGCGAGCGGCTGGGGGCGGCGCCCCCCCGCGGGCTGCGCGGCGAGCCCGGCGAACCGCGCCGCCCGAGCGCCTCGTCGGGCTCCCCCTCGCTCCCCAGCTCGCTGGCCTCGACGCGGGCCCTGCTGGGGAGGGGGGACATAGAGAGTAGAAAACAAAGCATGTACACACTTCTCGATTTGTGCGTGCCATCCTTGCGCAGGGGCCAAGCGAATCTTCTCTGTACTGTTTCGATGTTAAGGAATGATCCCCGAAGGGAATCCATTGGGGGGACGGAAAAAGTGCCAATACTTGCTCGACTGGCGCCAACTGGTGTCTGGCAATGTCCCTGCGAGAGCCGATTGGCACTTACTGACGCGTACTAGCGCCAAGTAGCGACCACGAATAAGAGGGAAGTCGCCCACTCGTGACTCTCACGCATCACACACCCAACGATACCGCTTCGAGGCTCAAGGTTTCGGACGTTTTCGCCGGCTCTCGGCTGTCTTCTGGCCTCGTGGCGCCTTCTACAGCGGCTGCGCCTCGCCGAGAGCCGCCCCAGGGGCGCCCTGAAATCGTCCCGAACGGCCGACGGAGGCCAAGGCTGTCTCCCGAAAAAGCCAGCGGGGAAAGGGGCTCCTTCTCCTCCTCCTCCTCCTCCTCCTCCTCCTCCTCCTCCTCCTCCTCTTCCTCCTCCTCCTCCTCCTCCTCCTCCTCCTCCTCCTCCTCCTCCTCATCCTCGGAACAAGTAGAAATGAAAGGATCCTGGCCCCCAAAAAATCCAGGAATTTTCGGAGAACAAGAAATGAACAATGTGCACCCTCTCCCTCCCCCCCCCTGACCTCTGGCGCGCCTGGCGCCCCAGGGCCTCCGCGTAGAGCCGCTCGGCGCGCCGCGTCGCGGCCTCGGGCGCGCCGCGCGCCGCCCCGTGGGCCAGGCGCTCTGCGACCTCCCGCCGCTCCAGCTCGGCCCGCTCGGCCAGGCGCCGCTCCTCGGAGGCGTCCGAGAAGGGGGGGGGGGGGCGCCCGAGGGGTCGGGAGGCAACAGCTGGGAGGTCCGCGTTGGCAAGGTTGGACGGGACGCACAGAGGCATACGAAATACTATGTCCTCCTCGGAGGCGCGCGTCCGACCCGATTGTAGTAAAAGCGGTGTGGCCAGAAAGCGTCCGCCACGACACATATACTATAAGACTTCTCGGTGTGCGCGTCGCCCCTGGGGGGGCGACGCACATATAGTAGAAGTATGTTGGGGTGGCGCCGATTAGAGAGAAGTGAGCCCCATTGGGGGGTTATGCGCCAGGTCAGGCCGCGGCTGAAGCGGGACTGAGCCGGACCAGGCGGGAGCAAGCAAGAGCAAGCCGGAGGTCGGCCCAGGGCAAAGTGAGAATTCGACCTCCCAGGAGTTGCATCCGAAAAGACGGGGGGGTCGCAGATCGGGGTGGGTCAAAAAACGCATCGGAATAAGAAGGCCTGGACACCCGAAACGGGTACACGGAAAAAGTGGGCACGATGCCCAGCAACAGACGTTATCCCAAACCGACAGCGGCCGCTGTCGGGAGCACCATCCGCGGGGACGCCGACAGCGAGTCCTGTTCAAAATGAACAGGAACTGCTTTCGCACCCACTCTTTCCGTACCCATTCCGATCGTACCGAGAAGAGGGCCATCAGATATGGGGAGATCTCATGGCCTCCGCCACCAGATCCAACCCCCCCCGCTTAGTCACCACCCCCCCTCTTGGACGCCCCTGGGGGGGTCCAGCCGCGTACGGCGCCGCGAGGCCTCCCGGTAGAGACGCTCGCAGGCGTCAGCGGGGTCGTGCCCGGCGGCCTCACGGTGGACGCTGTGCTCCTGGGGGACACCCGGACCCCGCGAGTCGCGGAAGATTCTTGCCTGGCCGCTCTCCGCGGGCACTCGCACGGACCTGTGGGCAAAACTTATGGATGCCACGACAATGGACACCCAAACAGTCCTATCCTTGAATTTGAAATGTGTCTTAAATGTCGTAAAATGTAATAAACATGTTTGAGACATATGTTTTACATGCTTAAACCATGCTTAAGACATATTCTAGACATCTGGAAATGATTTGGCAACATGCTTCCTCTCCATTGATCGTCCTCCACAAAGCAAAGCACAGCGTGCGGCCGGACGGGGAAGCCCGAGAGACCCCCGAGGACCTCTCCAGACCCCAGCCGGCCCGCGCACTGACCTCTCCAGGGAGGGCGGGTGGGAGAGCTGGCGAGCGCAGGGCGAGCGCAGGGCGAACCATAAAAGGCACGCCCGCGACCGTGCCCCTGCAAGAGCGAAGACCCGCAGAGGAGCCACGCGGTGGTTGCTGAGCATTTTCTTAGGGTGGAGGGCTCAGGGTGAAATCCATATGGGCTTTCGCGCCTCGAAAATCAATCCGTCATGTGATTCGCCGCTTGCAGATTCAAGCCTCGAAAATACATCGAAACGGCATTTCAGATTTCAACCTTTGCCCTCCACCCAAAAAAATGCTCCAGGTTGCCCCCAGAAGCACGGCCGAAACCTGCTATCCCGCCTCGGGCCCGGGCGGTGAGCGAGGGAGCGGAGCAGCCGTGAGGCGAACGGATCACCGAATCCCCGAATGGGATGACCGCGGCCTGTGAGAATCTTCTTCCCCAGAACCAAAGCTGCCAAAGCTTAGGGGTGGTACGAAATCGTATGAGGAGGTTTTCGACCATGTTTGACCTCCCATCAACGGGCCCCGGGGGGCCGTCGAGAAACGACTCAGGGTTAGAAACCAATGCTTGGGAATGGGTCGAAAACTCCGCGGGTCCACGCTGTGAAAGAAACAGGTAGCGGTAGCGGTGCCTCCCCCTCTTATGAGCTCCTGCAGGTACTGGAGCTCCTCGCCCTCCTGCCTCGGATGTGCAACGTTAGAGGGGGGACTGGCTCAGGGGGGAGACGTCGAGCCAGAATCGGCGCTACATCGCCGGTAAATCGGCGCCGGGCCCCCGATGGCAAATGCACATGTTCCTCGTTCGGGGCGGGCTATCAGGCCCTTAGCAGCGACGAATGGGCGATTTGGGGTCGATGCACCCCCCCCCTGAGCCTATCTCCCCCTAACGCTGCTTTGAGCCTCTCCCGGGCCAGCAGCAGCCTTTCCTCCAAGCCCCTCCGAAGCGACCGCTGGCGCTCCAGCCAGGCGCAGCGGCGCCCCTCCACCGAGCCCAGCTCGGCCCAAGCTCCAGCGCCATCGTCGGCCCAGGGCGAGCTCTGGTCGGATGCTGCCAGCGATGTCCATGGCCCAAGGTGTCCCCCGGAGTTGCAAGGAGGCCCCCACGGCCTCCAGAGCAGCCCTCACGAGGCCCAGAAGGTCCCAGGGGCTCCAAAGTGGAGCGAAAAGCTGTGGGGCACCTTGGGCCAGGAACACCTTTTGCAGCCCCCGATCTGGGGGAGCGTCCCGTCCAGCACGCGCGGCGAGAGGGTGGGCGCGAAGGTCGTCTCCTCGGCCAGCTCGGCCTCGCGCTTCTCGGCGAGCAGCTGCCTCGCCTCCCGCCGCCTCTCCGTGTCCTCGTTGTGCAGCCGCCGCACCGCGCCGGCGACGTCGGCCCTGAGGCCAGCGTGCAGGCTTTCGGCCAGCCACTCCCGCTCCTGCCGCTGCTCCCGCTCCCTCCTCTTGCCGTCGTGCGTGGCGGCGTCCTCCATCGGGAGCGCAAATCGAAATCACGCCGTGCCGATCTTGGCAGGGCCCACCCTGGACCCAGGATCGGTTTTATATATATATATATATATATATATATATATATATATATATGTGTGTGTGCATGTAAATGTATGTATGTATGTGCGTACGTACGTACGTACGTACGTACGTATGTATGTATGTATGTATGGATGGATGGATGGATGGATGGATGGATGGATGGATGGATGGATGGATGGATGGATGGATGGGTGGATATGTGTATGTATGTATGTAGGTTGGTAGGTCGGTATGAACGTATGCATGTATGTGTATATGAAGACATATCTTTATGCAAGGAAACATACATGCATGCATGCATACATACATGTGAGAGAGCGTGATCCACCACCGCTTTACTGTGGAAAATTCTCCCCACTCTTCATCCGGAACCCAGGGGTCCCCCCCCTCCGAAAATCCCCCCCCTGCTGGAACCCCCCCCCCGTCCTCCCAGCAAAACCCTTCCCCTCACCTAATCCCCCCTTCCTCCGGAAAACCGGACCCCTCCCCCCCCTCCGGAAAACTCAGGGGGGGTCACTACAGGTGCGAACCCCCCCCCCTCGAAAACCGAGGGGGGTCACTACCGGTTCGAACCCCCCCCCCTCGAAAACCGAGGGGGGTCACTACCAGTTCGACCCCCCCCCCCTCGAAAAACGGGGAGGGTCACTACCTGTTCGAACCCACGCCTCGAAAACCGGGGGGGGGGCACTACCAGTTCGAACCCCCCCCCCTCGAAAACTGGGGGGGGTCACTACCGGTTCGAAGCCCCCCCCCCTCGAAAACCGGGGGGGGTCACTACCGGTTCGAACCCCCCCCCTCGCCGCCGGCAAACGATTCCCGCTCTTCGGGACAGTTGGACAATGGTGGGGATGCTGGGACAGTGGTGGGAACGGTGGTGGTAGGGACAGTGGTGCGGGGACAGTGGGACAGTGGTGCGGACAGTGGTGGGGACGGTGGTGGTGGGGACAGTGGTGAGGGGACAGCGGGACGGTGGTTGGGACGGTGGTGGTGGGGACAGCGGCGTGAGGACAGTGGGAATGTGGTGGAAACAGTGGGACAGCGGAGGGTACAGTGGTGGTGGAGACAGTGGTGAGGGCGGTGGCGAGGACGGCGGTGGGATAAATGGGACAGAGGTACAGTAGGGACAGTGGTGGGGATAGTGGGGGCAGTGGTGGGAACAGTGGGACAGCTCAGAGGGACAGCGGCGGGGGGGGGGTTCGAACCGGTAGTGACCCCCCCCGGTTTTCGAGGGGGGGGGGTTCGAACAGGTAGTGACCCCCCTCGGTTTGCGAAGGGGGGGGGGTTCAAACCGGTAGTGACCCCCTCAGGTTTTCGAGGGGGGCGGGAAGGGGTTCGAACCGGTAGTGTGACCCCCCCCCGGTTTTCGAGGGGGGGGAGGGGTTCGAACAGGTAGTGACCCCCCCCCGGTTTTCGAGGAGGGAGGGGGGGGGGGATTCGAACCGGCCCCTTTTCATGATGGACTGGGGGAGAGGGGGGGGGGGGGGGGCAGGGGTTCGAACCGGTAGTGACCCCCGCCGGTTTTCGAGGGGAGGGGGGACGGGTTAGGAACCCCCAATGACCCCCCCAGTTTTCCGCCAGCAGCGGTAGAACACGCTCTTTCATAGATGTAGATGTTCGTATACACAGGCCTAAGCAAGTACTCATACGTATATATAAAAGTGCACGTGCACGCCGAACCATAAGCATATACGAATACATATATATATATATATCAACACAATTACAATTGTATAATTATATACATATGCACACACATACACATACACATGAATACACACATTGGTGCAAACACAGCAATATGTGCGTATACATATGTGTGTTGCTGCGTCAAGACACACATATACATTTCTACATACACACACGCACACATACATTTATATATATATATATATATATATGTTAGAGAGAGCGTGATCCACCGCCGCTTTACTGTGCAAAATTGCCAACCTTCTCCTCCGGAACCCCGGGGGTCGCCCCCCCCTCCGAAAATCCCCCCCCCCCCCTGCTGGAACCCCCCCACCCCCCCCTCCCCCGGCAAAACCCCCCCCTCCCCTAACCCCTCCCCCCCCCCCCTCCCCCCTCGAAAACCGGGGGGGTCACTACCGGTTCGAACCCCTCCCCCCCCCCCCTCCGGATCCGGAAAACCGGGGGGGTCACTACCGGTTCGAACCCTCCCCCCCCCCCCCCCCCTCCGGATCCGGAAAACCGGAGGGGGTCACTACCGGTTCGAACCCCCCCCCCTATTCACCGCCAGCAAACGACTCCCGGTCCCCACCACCGTCCGCATCACATCCCCCACTGGTGTTCCCAGCACCACTGTCCTCACCACCGCTGTCCCCACTGGTTCCACCACCGCCCCTACTGTCCCCACCAGTGGCCCCACCACTGTCGCACTGTCCCCGCTGTCCCCAGAACTGTTCCCACCACGGTTCCACTCTCCCCACTGTCTCCACGGCCCCAACCACTGCCCGACTATCCCCACTGTCCCCACTGTCCCACTGACTCCTCCGCTGTCCCACTGAGCTGTCCCACTGTTCCCACCACTGTCCCCACTGTCCCCACCACTGTCCCCACTGTACCTCTGTCCCATTGTCCCACCGCCGTCCTCGCCACCGCCTTCACCACTGTCCCCACCACCATTGTACCCTCCACTGTCCCACTGTTTCCACCTCATTCCCATTGTCCCCACACCACTGTCCCCACCACCACCGTCACCACCACTGTCCACTGTCCCCCCCTGTTCCCACCATTGTCCCCACCACTGTCCCCACCACTACCGTCCCCACCACTGTCCCACTGTCCCACTGTCCCCACCACTGTCCCGCTATCCCCTCACCACTGTCCCCACCAACACCGTCCCCACCACTGTCCGCACCCCCACTCGGTTTTCGAGGGGGGGGGGGGTTCGAACCGGTAGTGACCCCCCCGGTTTTCGAGGGGGGGGGGGGAGGGGTTCGAACCGGTAGTGACCCCCCCCCCTTTCGAACCGGTAGTGACCCACCCCGGTTTTCCGGAGGGGGGGGGGGGGGAGGGGTTCGAACCGGTAGTGACCCCCCCCGGTTTTCCGCCAGCAGCGGTAGAACCAGCTCTTTCATATATTATGAGCACGCGTATATGTACGCACGGATGATTACATGTGCAGTGTATCTACAATTATGCATATACAGGTAAATGCGCATACGTGTATAGCCTATGCGTATACGTATACAAACACCTATGCATCTACACGCGCACATTCACCCCACATACACACATACACCTATACACATACAGATGCACGCACATGTATATGCACATGTGCATTAACCTGCGCATGCACAACTACACATCAAAAGCCCTGTACAGTTATAGATGTGTATATACATATGATACCAGAGAAAAATAACCCAATCAAAATCTCTTTAGGGATTTAGGGCTATGGGGTTATAAGGCTATAGGGCTAGAAGGCTATGGGGCTATAAGGCTCCAGGGCCAGAGGGCTATAGGGCTATAGGACTATAGGATTATGGGGCTGCAGGGCTACATGGCTATAGGGCTATAGGGCTATAGGGCTAGAAGGCTATAGAACTATTAGGCCTATAGGGCTACTTTGCTATAGGGCTATAGGGCTATAGGGCTATATAGAGCTACCGGGCACCTGGGCACCCGGGCACTTGGGCACCCAGGCACCCGGGCACACGGGCACCCGGGCACCCTGGCACCTGGACACCCGGGCACCCGGGCGCCCAGGCACCCGGGCACCCCCGGGCACCCCTGGGCACCCCCGGGCACCTGGCCGCTGGCCACCAAGTCGGCGCCGCACCTCACCTAGCCATATGAATCCGCTAGGACCCCTCCAGAGGCAAGCTCTGATTGGGGAATATGTGTAAGCGTATGTCAGAATCTGGTGGGTGAGACCGACGTGAAACGTGAGGCACTCCAGCTGGGAAATCGTTTCGTGGTGTGCGTAGCGTGCGTGCTGGCGAGGCGAGGCGAAGCTGCGCGCGTTCGCCGACTGGCCAAGGCCAAGTCAGCAAAAAAGGGGCGCCGTTATCCAGGCCGTGGCTTGAAAGTTGTCCCAATGGCCGCCCCGATGCGGGTCCAGATGGTTTCCAGATGGTTGTCCCGATGGTTGTCCCGATGGTTGTCCCGATGGTTCTGAAAGGCCCAAAAGTCCAACAAAAATGTGCTCCGCGAGGCCATAATACCAAAAAGCGCGCTCTACCCAGCACGTGATCCCCCCAGCTGTTTTGGCGAAGGCGGTCTAGCGATATCTGCCTTTCCTCGTTCGTTCAAAAACCCTCCCCTCTTGTGTTCAGGAAGGGGTACTCTCCCCCTCCCATCCCTGAGGTTGTTTGGGGCTGGCCGCGATCGGTCAGGGCGCCCAAGAGGGCTCCAATAGGGCTCCAAGAGGGCATCCGATGCTCCAGAGACCTGACCTAAACGATGGATGTAATCAAACTACGCAGTGTTTATCTACGCTCTGGTTTCTACGCAATGTGTTCCACGCAGTGTTGTACACGCAGTGCTTTCTACGCTGTGTTTTCTACGAGGCGGTTTCTACAATGTGTGTGTGGGTGTGTATGTGTGTGTGTGTTTAGCCGACTTGGCTTTACGATCTCATGCGGCACTGTATGGATGTTGCTTTACGCTGTGTTGGGTTACGTGGTATGCTGTTCCGCATGCGCGGGCCAGGTTTGTGTTCAGCAGGCGCCTTGAAAGTATCGTTATTGGAGGCTTGCTCTTGTGGTAGAGTGCGACAGGAACTCTCGACAAGTCCCAAGCGCAGCGTGTTCTACGCGATGGTTTGTACGCAGTGGTTTCTACGCAGTGGTTTCTGCGCAGTGTGGTCCACGTTGTGTTAGTTTGGTTTCGTGGTTGGCAAACCACCTGCAAATCATCGCTCTTGGATGCGTGCCCGTGTGAAAGAGTGTGGTGGAAGGCGTTGAAAAGCCCA